CTTTTTAAATTTTTTAAATTAGTTTGAGAGAGATATTTGTTATTCCACTTGTTTATGCATTCACTGGTTGATTCTTGCATGTGCCCTGACTGGGGATTGAACTTGAAACCTTAGTGTTTCAAGATGACGCTCTAACCAACTGAGCTACTTGGCCAGGGCTAATCAAGAACTTCATACCCCTAAAAGTTGTGTGGGTTTTGTTTGTTTGTTTGGTTAGCCTTTTGTTCTCTCTCTCTCCCTCTTTCTTTTTCTTTTTTCCTTTTCTTCAGTCTCAGGCAGGGAACTGGGACTACAGTCCAGTCCTACGAAAGGTTGACTACTGCGTTTTGTGTCCTGGGAGCCAAAGAAGGGCCCACCAGAACCTTTTAAAGGGCCTCAGGTCTTGTCACATTGTTTTTAACTCTTTGGGGGTCATAACTTCTTTGGGGATCTAAAGAGAGAATCTGAAGTTTCTTGCCCCAGAAAAATGTACATAGAGACATACACTACAAAAGTATGACCATCCATGTACCCTTTGTCCTCGGTCCATGGGAGAGAGCCCATGGGGGCCTGGGATGAGGGGAAGGGGAAAAAAGCACAGCTTCAAACCCTACAGATCCACAAATAACTGTACTTAAACATACTGCACACCAGAGAGATTCTCAGGCCTTGGAGAAGGGCAAGTTCATTTCTTAATTTCAGGGGGTTGACATAGTTTTATAGAAGAGCTTCCGCTAACTGTCTCAACCAGCAGTCTTCAATCTGTTCTGCTAACGTACTCTCTAAATGATTGTTGGAAACTGCGTACTTCCTGGCACACTTTTTAGGTGACAGCTAACCTTGTTCATCAAAGGTTTACATAGTTACAACTGTTGTATCTTCTGATACATTGTAAAGTCGTACACTTAAAAGTAAAGTTACATTATTCTTTTCAATGTAGCCAGTTAATTAAACACCCAGGCAATTTGATACTTACAACCACCCATTTTAAAAATACATGAACAGGCTCTTCTCTAACCGTCAGAAACCTTAAGTCATTCCTTTTTCTACTTGAGCTGAAATTTCCACTCTGTGTTCCCTCACAAAATTTTACCATATGTATTTTTTTATGCTTACGTGGCTTATTGATAACTCCCATATTTCTCTACCTAAAAAATAAATGTGAATATTGGGTCATTGTTTTACTTTCTAGGACCATAAGACTAAGTGTGAATTTTTTTCTATCATTACAGTTATCATAAAAATGCAATTGGTCAAGACAATGTAAATACATGATGATTTGTAACGTCCTACAGAAATCTGTGAAGTCTGTATTGAGACGCAACTGACATAAAATAAAGTGCACATCTTTAAAGTGCACCACGTGACACATGGATGTGCTTGTGACACCAGTCCTACAAACTTCGGTAAATAATTATCGAGCCGAAAAAGTCAACCTGGGTAATTTCCCTCCCCGATTAGTTCACATATCGCTGGGTGAATATTGTCGGTGCTAGAAAGAGATTGTCTTAGCAGCGATTTTATTCCTAATTTGTACAGCTGTGAAGCCGTGGTGTGCTGACACCAACTTGTCCTGGTTCATGTTTTGAGCATTTTATGGGTGGTAGTTAAACATAATTGTTACTAAAAATTAACTTAGAATTAAATACACCACATAGAAAACAAAGAAAATAAGCACTCAAAATGCATCACTTCCTACTTATTTCCCTATATTTTACTGTTATCTATGCTCTTGATATTGTTGCAACTTTCGTGTCTGTGTGGTACGGATTCTGCTTACCTCATCCTAGCCGGAGGCCCAGTGGGTGGGTCTTGTGGGTTACGGGTTAGATTCCGGATCGGCACACATACCTGGGTTTGGGTTCAATTCCCGGTCTGGGCATGTGTGGGAGGCAACAGACTGATGTTTCACTTTCTCTTTCTCTTTAAAAAAATCAATAAGTATGTCCTTGAGTGAGGATTAAAAATAAAATACTGCTCCTCCCTAACCAACTCCAAGTTCAGTGAGCTTGCATTGAAATCAGCCACAATGGGAGTATTTACACCACAGAAATTGGCAAATGGCACGAATGAGCAGTTCCTGACTCTCTGGCCCCCCTCACACACAGCACCTATCGTTAAATAAATATTCACCAGTACACTACCAGCTGTAAACGCTGGGAAACCCTCTTCGCTTAAGGAAGTTGGGAACGAAAGGCATTTTGTAACCAAAAGCAGGTCCGGTTGCCCGCCGCGCTGAAAGCCAATACTCAAGAGGCAGGTGCTGCTGTAAAGGAAAGGGGTTTATTTTCAGGTGCTGGCCACGTGGAAGATGGGAGACTCTGGTCACAGAGCCCGTTTCCTGGGAAGATGGGGGGCTCACCTCTCACAGCCCCTCTCTGCCTCTCAGTGGAGGCAGATGTTTTTTTGTAAGGAGGGAGAGATCCAGGGAAAAGTTCTCTATGTGCAGACAAACACGGTCCGTTCCCGTAAGACCAGTGATGGTCCGTGTGCCTCATCCCGGGTTAGTCACCCTGGCTTCACGTCATCCCGGTGCCACGGCTGGAGGCCAGCAGATTTCCTGGAGCTGGCATGCCCGAAGGTCAGGCTCTGTATTTTTTGAGGTTAGTTTTGAGGATTCTTACTCAAACATGCTGTTATCTATGCTTACAGAAACAATGTCAAAACAATGGCAGCGCCGGTTACAATTTCCCACCATTACAACTTTCCACCGCTGCAGTTTTATTGTAGCAATGCGACAAGAGGTGACCAAAGCTCCACAGTGACCGATCATCAAACGTTATTTTTAATGCTCTTTCTACTGACAATTAGATTAGGCCCTCCCTCAATTCTGTGGCCAGCGAACACTGCAAAAACCTATCTGACTTGCAAAAGGATTTCTTCTTCTGACAGGAAATGCACTCAGTTTCTCAGTTTATTTCCCAATCCTAGGGAAGGGTGTTAAGAATGGCAGGAAAAAAAAATTGCTTACCTTTTAAACCCATGGGGGAAAACCTGAGTGGCATTTGAAGTTTGTTTTTCTGTCAGGGCTCTCCGCCTCGAAAGATTTCCATCCTTTGGTAATAATTAGGGGATGGGATGGAAGGGGGGAAGTCACTCCAAACTCTTCACGAAGCATATGGATTCATAACATGCCCACGGAGGCCAAAACATCCTGGTTGTGAAGCCATGCTTCAGCCTTAGAAGATATACATATCTTACACACACACACACACACACACACACACACACACACTTACAAGGACATATACTGAGTCCAGCAAAAGTAACACCTGCTTGAGTGTGGTTGGTAGAATAATAATATGGGTGTAATCATTTCTCATTTTAATTTGAACATTTCACCTCAAATGTCACATGGTGTGCTTGAGGGTGGTATTGTTATGTCACTGAGTTACATGCTTAGGGTTTTGTAATAAAAGATTTTGTATTAAAAAGGGGTGTTATTTGCACCAGAAGCCAGACCCTGTATACTATATGTGTGTATATAACTATATATCATACCTTCATGTTTTATACCATGTAAAATAAAGAAAAGATAAGGCTAGGTAGGCACCTTTAGTACTTTGGTTATAAAAGGGTGCTTTCCACTCACACTTCCAACAGCGGTTGTGCTTGAGGCCCCAGGGATTTACCACCCACCCCACCCGCCCGCACTGTCAGGAAGATGCAGGGATAAGGCCGGCACATGACTTTGTAGTTTTGTAAACATCGACTGCACAGCCCCACCTGGGGACCTGGTGCGAAACCCAGGCATGTGCCCTGAGCAGGAGCTGAACCAGCGACCTTTCAGCTTGCAGGCCGGGGTCAGTCCACTAAGCAGCAGCAACCAGGGCATGCTCAATTTCTTTCTTTCTTTTTCTCTTTTTTTTTAAACAAATGTGGAAGTAAATCTGAGATTGGAGATGAACTTGCAGACCAGTTCTCTGACAGATCAAACATTTTAGGAAGTTCAAAATCTGGGAAAACAAATCCCTTAACAATCCCCTAAAACAGAGATCAGCCACCCTAAGTCGACCCACGGCTTGTTTCTGTTCAGCTCACTAAGAATGGTTTTTACATTTTAATTTTCTTGATCATTGTTATTTTGAAAATCCTCACCCAAGGGTATGTTTATTGATTTTAGAGAGACAGGGAGGGAGAGAGACAGGGAGGGCGCGATGAACACCGATGTGAGAGAGAAACATCGACAGGGACAGGTTGCCTCCCGCAGCCCCTGGTGCCCGAACCCGGGATGGAGCCCGCAACTTAGGAACCTGCCCTGACCGGACTGAGCGCACGCGGCCTCTCGGTGCGCGGGAGGACACTCCCGTCCGCGGGGCGGCCCAGCCAGGGCAAGAGTGGTTTTTACGTTTGTAAATGCTTGGGGGCGTGGGGGCGGGGGCGGGAATAAAAAAAAAGAATGATATTTAGTACCAGGTGCAATTTTTATAAAATTCAAATCTCGGTGTCCAAAAATAGTGTTTCGTTAGAACGCAGCCACTCAGCCTTTGAAGTGCGCACTGGTTCCCTCTGAGCTTCAGCTCGAGTGTAAGTGGCTGTGACGAGACCGTGAGGCCGGCGGAGGCTGAAACACTCAGCTCTTTGCGGACAGTTTGCTGACCCCTTAAAACTCCGGGCGTTCGTGTCCCCTTTTCCCCTTTGGAGAGCCTTCGTGCCCTGCGACGGGAGCGCCCTCGGTCCGACAGGCGCTGGTCTACACCGACGGCCTCGGGCAAGTCCTTCCTGTGCGCGGGCCTCAGTTTCCCCGGCTATAAAAAGGGGTTAGACGCGGCGGTCTTCGGGGGCCTGCCTGGCGGGGGCTCAAATCAGTGAAGGGGGTCGGGACTCCGGGGGGCAGTGACTTCGGGCAGATGCGCCCCGGGGGGGTCACTCCGGGTTTCCCTCTCTGCGGGCGGGCTCGGCGCCCCGGAGGCCCAGCTTTCGCGGGGAATTCCTGGGGGAGGGGGGCAGGGGTGCGGGCGGCGGGGGCGGGGCGGGGCGGGGCCGGGCCGGCCGCCGCCTATAAGGAGGGCCGACCGCGGACCGCGGCCACCAGCCTGCGCGCCCTTTCGCGACCGCGACACCATGGCCCCCGCCCGCCTCCTCGCGCTGCTGCTGCTGCTCCTCGTGGGCGCCCCCGCCGCTGCCGCGGAGTCGGTAGGTGCTTGGAGGTTCCCGGGGGGAGCGCAGACCAGCACCTTCTTTGTTCCTGGGACCCTGGGATACGGGGTGATCGGGGGAGCCGCGCCACCCGCCCCTAAGGAGACACCCAGGTCCGGGAAACTTTGCCGGAAACTTGGCTCCTGGGCCCCCGGGGGGAAGCGGGTGGCCGCCCCGCTCGCCTCGCGCCCCAGCCTGTTGCTCTTCCCGCCTCCCCTTGGCCTCAGCCCTGACGAGGGCTCCAGGCTCGGACGTGACTAAGCCGGTGTCACCTTTCCCCCACCACCCGCACCTTCCCTGGGGATCCCGGTTCCGGCTCGGAGCCCCGAACCGCCCTCCTCGCCAGCTGGGCGCCCGGAGCCCGCAGCTCCAGAATCGCAGATGCCTGGGGGTGACGGGGGCCGCGAGTGCTGGGGAGGGGGAGGAGTTTAGGGTTCTGCGGGGCCTTGTCTCACACACCGGGGAGCGGAGGACGGAGCCCTGATCTCCCCTGTGGCCCCCGCGGCGCAGCTGGCGTGTGACTTCGGGCAAGTCCCCGCCCCTGCTGAGCCTCGATTTCCCCACGTGCACCAAGGGCGTGAGGGGGTGGGGCGGGGGCGGTGGCCGGTGCTTCTTTAGGGTCTACCCCTACAAAGTTGGGACCGAGGACTGCAGGGATGGATGAGCGCTCCCGCGCCACCCTTCCCGTGAGAAGCCTGTTTTCTCCGGCTCAGCGCAGACGGGGAAGTCGAAGCACCCAGGCTGGGTGAGAGCGAGGCGAAGGAGACTGGGGAGAGAAGGCCTCAGTGAGCGGGGAGAAGCCTTTCCTTCTCGCTGCCCACGGGTCCCCGTCGCTCGCAAAACCCTGGGCCACCTGAGGCTCCTTTCATCCCCGCAGCCAGCTGGGGAGAGCGGAGGCAGTCTCCTCTGGGGAGAAGGGAGAGAGGCGATCTGCCCCCCCACCCCCACCCCAGGGCCTGGGCTTTGTGCCCCTCTCCAGCCCTTAAGTCCCGTTTTGGGGGGGATGGGGAGCGGCGAGTCCCTGTTTTCAGTTTCTGTAGGGGGTTCGTATTTCCCTGGGCTTACTTAGGGGAGAGTTGCTCCTGCCTGACAGGCTTCCGCTGAGGAATGGATAAGATCCTGAACCACAACCCTCCGCACCATTGCTGATTGGCCGTGGCGATACCGTGTGCGGTGTGCACGGCCCTCCGGCAGCAGTGTTCTGATAGCTTCTAGGGGCCAGTCCAACGACTCCCTCACCTAGCTTAATCCTGATAACAAACAACCTGGTTTGCTGTTCTTAACCTGGGACCTGAGAGGGTGACTAGTTTGCCTACATTCACACGGCAGATTAGGGGCTGAGCAGATTCCCGTGTAGGCAGCCACGCTTCCCAGACACTGGCTGGTCTCATCTCAACTTGTCGCCCGATGCTACTCTGAGTGGCTGCCACTGTGTCCCATCCTCGGATAACTCAAGACTCCTATAGAACCTAAAGATTGGGGGCTGGCCAGCCTCAAGGAATTCTGAGGGGGAGGGGCATGACTTCCCCAAACTCAGGGTAACCCAGCTGAAAGGTTAGTGGCTGAGCCAGGACTTGAACCCAAGCCGGCTGCTCCCTGGTGCAGTGGCCCCGACCAGGCCCCGAAGGATGTGGTCAGGGAGGCGTCCAAAGGAATCTTGTCGGGTGCCTCTGGTCTGGCCACCGGAGAGGAAAGTCCCTGGAGGTTGTGAGGTCGACACTTGGGCACTCACGGACCAGTGCCAGCTCAGGGACTGCTGAGCCTGCAAGGGCTTGAGTGAGGACAGCTGTGTCCCCGAAGGATGTTTTGGGGGAGGGCTGTCAGTCCTACGTGTGGTGACCCATCAGCTGCAGGAGAGGTCGGCCCTGAGCAGCTGCTTCCTGAGAGGGAGGCCTTATGTTTCATCCTGACCTTTGTGCTCCCCTTTCCTGGCTAATGTCGCAGACCTTCTGCCCCTAACTGGGTCACGGGGCTTCCCCTTTTGGCCCTGCCACCCCCTTCCCTCCCAACGTTGTGGCCGGAAGAATCAGACCTCAGTCACGGTCAGATTAGACCAGAGACAGACATGACCTAGTCAGCCCTTTTTGGCTGGTGGAGAAAACAAGGCCCAGGGAGAAGGGGTTTGCTCAGAGCAGGTACGATGCACGGAGTGCTTTCCCTGTGCCAGGTTGGGTGCGTGGGAAGCAGCCCCCAGGAGGCCCGTGGAGATTCGCTTCACGGATGCGGGAGCTGAGTGCGGCACCACGCTGGGGTGGCAGAGAGCGCACAGGCAAGCCATCGCAATCTACCCAGTAGCCCCTCCAATAATTCTACGGGGGCCCTCACCAAGTTTTAGGTTTAAGCCAAAGGCCCGCCCTCCCTTTAGGTGGTGCCCCCCCCCCGCCCCCCAGGTGCCACAAGGTTTGGGGAGGGAACCCGCGCTGAGCACCAGCCTCCTCTCCATTTGGCCGGGGCTTGCCACCCTAAACCAGTTCTTCCTGTCCAGCTGGGACCATTTCCCTGAATCGCCTTCCTGCCGCTCCCTCCCTGGGCAATTAAAGGCAGCCTTGTTTTGGGAGACGGGCCCACCCTCCTCCCCACCCCAGGTGGCGCTGTCCAGGAGCACAGCCCGCCTGGGTGGCACTGAGCCCAGTTGGTTCTGGGGAATCGTTCCCGGCCCATCAGGGCACTTTAGCTTAGAGATGCTTCCGGACTCCTTGAGAATTCTCGCCTTGATTGCACAGAAGTGGGGTGGGGGGTTGGCTCAGGGGGTCTAGGACTCTGGAGTGGCCAATGAGAGCTCTTTGGAATTCTTCGAAGCTCCGAGAGCTACCAAGCACCTGAGAGAGTATTTGGCCCATGGCTCGGGATGGGGGCTCCATGAGGTTGGGTCCCTTTTGCTCTCTAGGTTGATAACCCCCATCTGTAAGTGGGATTTGAACTGCTTGGCCTCCAGTTCAAATCCCACTCGGGTATTCTATGAATGATTACGTGCCACACTTTGAAAAGGGCATGGGGAACCATAAAGACAGAGAAGGCTTTTCATCCCTTGAAGAAAGTTACGTTTGGTGAGGGAATGAATGATACACCGCACTAAATTCTGAGTTGCCCCACCTTCCCACCTCCCCACCCCCCCACACCACACACACTCAAGGCAGGAACTCTGCTCTATTCCTTTCCAGTGAAAAACCCGTCTTATAGTTAGTAACTCAGGAAATGTTTGCATGAATGGAGAAGTAATACTCAGGCGTGTAACTTTATTCTAAGAAGTGCTCCACGGTTATTTATTGCCGATAAGAAAGCCTCCTGGTGCTCTGGGAGGCAGGTGTGATTATCTCCGTTCCGCAGGACACAGATGCTCGAGGGATGGAGTGGTTTGCCAAGGTCAGAACAAGATCTGTCTGATAACACAAGGTTTCAGCTTTGCGCACCCTCAGAGAACATTCCAGATCAGGGAATTGGCTGGGCCGAAGGTAGATACCTCAGGCCCTACTTCTGAATTTGCTGGGTGACCTTGAGTGCTGTGCCCTATCTCTAGGGGATCTCAGTGGGCCCCAGCTCTAACAGGAGGAGGCTGGGCCAGGCCCTCCAGGGTCCTCCCCGTCCTGAGAGCCCACTGATGCGGGGAGGCGAGCTTTCTTGGCCTTCTTGGTAAAGAGCCCGAACGAGAGAAGAAGTTTGGGGGTGGGGGGGACGACATTCAGCTCCTGCCACCTCCGTCTCCTGGAAACGGAGGGCTTCTCCAAGGACTCCGAGTGCTGAGCGGCCTGAATGAGGGGCGGGCAGGGCCAGGCCCCGGCCCTTCCTGGGAGGAACTGGCTCCTAGCTGTCCCCAGCCTCCTGGGTGGCTGGGCGTGATGTCCCAACCACGTTGAAGCCGGGGCAAGCGGCTGGACAGGGCCGTGCGAGTCCCTGGAAGAGAGCGAGAGTGGGCTGGCCCGAGGCACCCCGTTTCCTCTCCACCCCTTGGCTGTGGGAGGGCTCTCTGGTGGGGCGTCTCAGCGCGTGCCAGAGTCTCACCTTGACCTCTGGGAGCCTATTAACCCGCCTCTCAGTGTCCAGGGCCTTGAGGGGCCATACGAGAAAGAGTAGTATGGCCCAGTCCTCTGCAGCGCCGTGCCCTGGAGGTGGACTTGGAAAGAGTTCGGCCTGTCCTCACGTTGGTCGTTTGGCCTCCACTGAGCAGGTGGTACCTCACCTCTCCCCCGCCCCAACCCCGTGAAGCAAAGCTAAGGCTGCAGCTGATCTGAGTTTACAGAACCAAGCTGGCACAGTCCAGACTGGACTTGACCCCAGGGGTCTCTGTGGACTGTTGTGCGCCCCCCTCCTTGCCCTCTGGGACTGGCTGGAGGGCATTGCCTGGGACGCTGGTGCGGAGTCGGAGGTGCGAAGTCCTCCCTGGCTGGAGTGGGGGGAGGGGGGACCGCTCGGCTTCTCAGCCCCTTGGCCTGTACAGAGATGATCTGGACTGTGGTGATGCTTGTAGGAGACGACGGGACGGAAAATAAAGGCCCCTGTGTTGTGTCTGGGAGGGGGACGAGCTCAGTGACACTGCCCTTTTCTGTCCGGGCCACTTGGATGCTGCTACCGGGCACCTTGGAGGAACCCACCCCCTGGGCCCCTGGGAATCTTTCACCCCTCCCCCGTTTCTAACCCGTGGCGGCGAGGTGGGGAAGGAGGAGTCCAGGGTGGGGCTGATGGCGCCCAAATCAGCTATTTGTTTGTCTTAGAAGCGGGCTGTTTGCTAATTATGGGGTGGGTTTATATTTAATCCAGAACCAGTTCCCGGGAGCCCCACCTCTCCCGCCCTCCCTGCAGGACGCGCCTCTGACCTGCTTGCAGCTGGAGAGAGAGACGGGACGGGGGGGTCGCAAAGGTTATGACACTGCGGGGCCGCTGCGACAGGGCCCAGCACACGGCGGGCACCCTCCAGAGCTGGGGGGCCTGTCAGCGCCTGAGTGAACTGTAGCGGGGGCTCCGGGCTGCGGCGGGGGTGCTGCTGGGGGACAGAAAATGTA